ATTCCAGAACCTTACCGGAGGGAGAAACTGGGCACGAAGTGTGCTTGTTCGATGAAAAATTATTGTCCAACATGCATCTGCATCTTGGCATCGTCCAGAGTTTCCCAGTGATCACCATCTACTACCTCAGACTTCTGCTTCTTTCTCTCCCTCCTCCCCCTCCCCCCTTTACTGCCCTCTTCTCCCTCCCTTTCACCCCCTTTCTTGTTCTATGTCTTTTGTATAGAAATCCCGCTTGTAGCTGCGCGCCCGAATTGCCCTTATTAAAATTATCAAATTCAGCTGCTCAGTGCAAATGGTGGTTCTCACGTACGGCCTCGTGAAATTTTTTGGCGCGGAAATGACCAACTCGGGAACCAGAAAAGCCCGGAGGCTGAAATTTTCAGAAAATGTTCCCAATCTTGTTCGGTGTTGTAACTTCCACTGTTTGGCTTGTATTCGTCTCGATTCCCGCTCTTTCCGTCTCCGTGTGGTCACCTGTTAAAGTTGCTGAGCGCCGTGTGGCCTACGGTCCATGAAACGACGCCCAGCAGCTCGCAAGTGCCGGAAGCTTCCTCGCTGCAAGCCGAGTCTCGTCGTCTTCGTCGCACGGTGCATCCGGGAACGGCATAAAGGAGGTTTTGGACGAATTCCTCACGGCGGTGATTTCGATCTGGTCCACGGCGACCGCCAGCACTGCAGTGTTTCGGTTTTGCAGTACCACAAGCCTACATTACTATTTGTAGAGCTCAGTCTGCTCATTACTGTATATGTATGTGTGCATGTGTGTGTGTACCTTTATTCGTGTCTGTATGTGTCCGTCCGTCCGTCCGTGTGCATGTCTGTTTGTGTTCCTATGTGTGTGTGTCTGTATGTTTTGTCACATAAATGTCCAAAAATGATTTATAGTTTTTGTTAGAAATGGTGTAAGGAACAACTGTGTCCCTGTGATGCACTACTACAGTCCATGGCCCAAACTTTAGAAATCGTTCCCTCGTTAAAGTTTTGCTTTTTTAATAATCTCTGGCCCCTAGGGTATAAAAGCACTCCTCCCCATCCCCGGGATTCCATAGCTAGTTCAAGCCACACGAGAAGCTACTCTCTTCTTATCCCTGTTCTGGGGAGCTACGGCTCCTCAGAACCTCACCACCTTTTCTTTTGTATTGCCTTTTATTATTTTACGTACTTTTAGATATGTATATATGACTAGATGTCTTCCACACACACACACACACACAAACACACACACATACACACACAAACACACACACATACGTACACAAACACATACACACACACAGGGCATGCCACTAGTCTAGAATATTAACTTTTAAGGTCGCGATAATTTGTATGTATTACATTTGCGTCTTTGTTTATCTTTGTGTGTATGTTTGTGAGATGCGTAAGCGTAAGGCTGTACTCATTAGGTAATGCATTTGCGTTCGAGGAGTGTTTGCTTGCAGGTGAGAAGGAAGCATGTTGGTGTTGTTCGAGACTTCTGCCGGATATGCCATCTTCAAGGTTCCTTTTTTATGTCTTTAATTGCTCAGATGCTTAATTTCACATGGTTTTTGGCTTCTCGCATAGTTTTATGCCTTCTTTCATGAGCCAAAAGGTCCCTGTCTTGGCAAATTGTGCGTGCCCAACGATGTAAGCCCGAAATACCGAAATTTTGTACAGACTTCAGGACCATGGGCCTGCCTCTAGCAGCCGTTGGCCTTTGAATGTGGAAGGTCTAGGCATACTTCTACCGCTATCCAAGTCGCGAAGATCTGTTGTTCTTTGGCCGTAGAATTCGAAGAGGGTATGGACAGAGTTTTTCACAGGTAAGTTAATACCTCGGGAACCACGGAGTCTAGGAGGCTGAAATTTTAGGGGAATGACCCCCTGCTCCCACTCAACCTTGCCCATTCAAATTCAGCGTTCTCGCGATCTCGGGCAGGACTGGTACTTTCCATTTACACAAGAAAAAAGAGACACTTGACAAGGAGGGAAGAAGGGGAGGGGAGGCGGGAAACGATTCCTGGACGAGATTACTATTTGCTGGAAAATGAGGGCTGAGGCTTGAGGTTAAACAGGGCCAAAACAGCGCATAGATGGATTTAAGGCGCAGTCGTAAGCTGTAATAAGAATTATCGTAGCTTTCGTAGCGTAAATTAACGTCTGATTCGAATCTTGCTAATCATGGTTTTTAATGCGCATTTACTACTACAGTAACTGATTTACTTTTTCTCATTAATTATTTCGATTCGGCTTCTTTTTTTCACACTTAATGTTGGCCTTTGGTTAATTTCTGTTGCATGTTTCAGGTGTTAGATGCAAAAAAATTGCAAAAAGTGGAAAATATTTGGGATGAGTTTTCGACACCCGAAAAGGCGCAACGATTGTAAGCCTTCAGAATAATTTTTACATATTAAACAATATTTTTAAGTGATTGCCTAATTTGTTTATTCGTTGCTTGTTAGCCTGCCGATTGAGTCATGTTAATGATGATGCTTTTCAGGCTGCAGTTGGTTTCGTTCAGGAAGTTTAAGGATACGGCCGAGGCAACAGAAAATGCCAAAAGTATAGCGGATGGCAAAATAGCGAAAGCACTGAAGAAAATCCTGAAGAAAGAACTAAAAGAACGCGAGGAACTAGCCGTCGGTGATGTGAGACTGGGAAATATGATCAAAGTAAGCATTTCGGATAAATGCGGAGAAAGCAGAGAATTTGAACCTAATGTTATTCGTAATGTTTTGCAACAGATGTTTTTTTCTTACGATCAGAAGTGCCTTTTTTTGAGGGAGGAGGGGGATGGAACAGGAAAATAAGGTTTTTATAAATAAAACTGGAAAATTGATAAAGCTTTTTTCCCCCTCTTGTCCAGGAAAACTGACAGCACTTCTTTTTCCGCTGATCCATTAGGTAAATTTTAGTAGCGAGTTTTGTTCATGTTATGGGTTAATTGGCACAGTAGTGGCAGTGTGACGTAAAAATGTTTTCCTTTGATTATGCGCTAAAAATGGCAATCAAAATCAGCATGGATTTTTAGGAGAAATTTAACGCGGTGTGTGTTCACAATAAAATGACTGATATGATAATGCGAGGTATTCGAACGCACGTGGACAGCCTGTTGGGTGAATACAACCAGGATTTGCGCGACATGAATCTCGCTGTTGCGCACTCACTGAGCAGATATCGGGTATGATTTTTCCTTTTTTCTGTAACATTCGAGACGTATACTTTTGGATGTAACATAATATATTGCACAGCAAAACTTGTTACGTCGTTGCACCTTTTCGCTTAAAACATATTGCCAGCAATGTTTTTATTAAGCGTTTTTGCCATGCAGCGCTAGAACGCTGCAACAGGTAGCAAAAAGGCATATTGCAACGACCTTGTCAGTGTATGTGTGTGTGTGTGTGTGTGTATGTCTTGTTCAGTCCGGATATTTCAATTCGCCAACCACGCAAGCTTTGAAGCTGAAATTTTGCCATTGTGTTCCCCGGCCGAGTGCCAACCCAGGGCTTTGGTACCAACTCTCAAGCATGTCAAGGTCTCACGTACAGCCACGTAAAAGTCTTGGCGGGAAAACTGCCTACTCCGGAACGAAGAAAGCTAGGAAACTGAAAGCTTGGGGCAATATTCCCTACCCAAATGTGACTAAAAGATTTCAAATTCAGTTGTTTAGGACTGCCCAGGACTTACGTACGGGCAAGTGAAAATTTTAGCTGAAAACTGCTAACTCGGGTACGAGAAAAGCTGAAGGGCTAAAAATTTTAAGGGAATGTTCCTTACTCATGTTCGACCAAAAAAATTCATTTTCAACTCTTCTAGTAAGTCTTTTTCGCGCACCAGCAAATTTCCATTTCTTGGGTCACTGAAGTCGCCATCTACGACTGACATGTCACGTAATCGCACAGTTAACTTGCTGAATTTCAAGGGCCAGTATGTCACAAATTTTAGCTGTTGTGATCCTTGAGTGCTAGAGCACGAAATAGTGCAAAAATGCGTGATTGCACCGACTCGTCTGGTGCGTTCTAGCCTGGGCTGTGTTCGGTTCTGAGCTCGCCGCATCGCCATGAATTCATGTAGCTGTTGCACTAAAATTGTTCCTATGAACGTCATTCTTTGCAAATGTTCGTAGTAGTTTGGCAAGTGCCATTTAACTATCCTCATGCCGTGTTACACTGATGAGTTCTGACGGAGATGGAAAGCCTCGGTCAATTTAGAATTTTTCGATTGGATCGAAAGTGTGTGATAAATGAATAGTGCGTAAATTTCACTGAGAAGTTTCAGTTAAGCTAAAACGGGAAAACTCACGATCGGAATAGACAGTTCTGACGATGTTAAGAACCTTCTTCGCGATATCTGAGAACTGAATTGAACCTTTTTTGATGCAGCACGTCAGCAGTTTAAGTGGGGAAAAAGCACTAAATATTGTT